GCAGGTGCCGTGGGGAGGGTCCCTGTGGGGGGGTGCGGACGAGGGTCTCCTGGGAGGGCCCTATGTGTGGGGTGGGCGTGAGGAGGGGGCTCTGGGTGGGTTTGGGAGCATCCTTGGGGAGGGAGGATGTGGGGGGGCCCTGTGTGGGGGTGTTGTGGGGCACCCCTTGTTGGGGGTGCCAAGGGGTGTTGGGACCCCTTGTGGGGCAAGCAGGGATGAGGAGGGGGCTCGCGGGTGGGTTTGGGAGCATCCCTGGAGGGGGGGAATGCGGGGAGGGGGCTGCGGGAGGGTCCTCGGGGAATGGGCTGTGCCTGGAGTGCAGGGGGCCTGGCTGGGGAAGGTGCCTGGGGGGCTGCTCGGGGCACCCGAGGGGCTGGGCAGGCTTCTGGGGTTCAGCAGCAGCCTGAGGCTCCCGTGGGGCTGGTACCAGCTCCACGTGCCCCCCATGTGGTTACGGGGGGGCCCTCCCTGTCCCGAGGGAGCAGCTGGGTCAGAGCAGCGGCTGGATCTCCTCCTCATCAGGGACAAAAGTTTGAAAGTTTGCCCCGCTGGCGCTCTGCTGTGTCTGGCGCCGTTTATCGCTTGTGCTGAGCCCAGGCTGCGCGCTGTGCCGCGGGCTCCGTTCTTGGCACCTTCTTGTCCTTCCTCCCTGATAACCTGGTCCTCCCTGTCCTCCCCCAGGCCCTTCCTGGAAGCAGCAACAACGTCCATGGGAACCTTCGACTCGTCTCTCCGTGCTTGCAAAGTGACTAAAGCACGTGGAAAGGACCTGCCCTGTGCGAGCCGTGTCCCTGAGGTATAAAAAACACATGAAAAGGACCTGCCCTATACGAGCTATGTCCCTGTGGTGTTCACGTGCTAGCAGCCTGGCCCCTAGTTCTTGGTTCTTGCCTCTACTAACTTGAGCTTAAATCAAGTGAAAGAGACTGTTTCCTCTACTGGCTTGATGGCTGGCCTAGTTCTAACCACAGTGGACTGTACCTGCTCGTTGATTTCTGTAGTTTGGTGGGTGAGGAAGTGAAAAGTTTAAGGCCAGTTTGCTTTTTGAGCAGTGTTCTTAACACATGAGGTTTGGGCTGATGAATTATCCTGGTTGTTGTTAACAAAGGTTTGTGCTATAGAAGTACAAAGAGTTTCATTTATTTCTTAAATAATTCAACTGCAGCTAATTCCTTGAGGTATAAATATTTCAGCACACTGGGGTGCCCTCCAGTAGTTTATTTCCAGGTGACGTAACAGTCAGTGAATGCTTCTGTTATGAAAGCCTTGGTATATACAGGAAAATATCTTGTTTTCTGAGGTTCAGTGCTCTCACGTGTGTCTCTGTTTCTGTATTGGAGATGACGAGGAGAGACTTTGGGCTACATTTTGCCACTTTTGTTGGCGGGAGGCATGTGCTGTTTAGGAGCAGTACCTGTGTGAGCAGCACAAGGCTGAAATCACCCTCAGGGCAGGTGTTCTTCCTCTTGAGGTTTTGGTTTTGGTGTCTGAAACGGCCCCTGTGGCTGTTTTGGGAAGATGAATTTAGGTCACCGTGCGCTAGAAAAGAGCAGGGTTCTCTAATTACTTCTTTAACTAGTTTAACAGGCCCGGAGAACTTCTTGCAGGTGTTTCGGCCGAGTGTTGCGTGTGAATGGGGTATATTTGAGTGTGGTCCTAAGTGCAAAGTCTTACTGAGACCGTCTTGTGTTCTAATGTCAGAAAAACAGTGTGCGACCGTTGGCTGTTCCTGAAAAAGATGATGAAACTTTATGATGTTTCTTTAGGTTAAAGGCAGAAGAAGCTGAAAACTCTCTACTCGTTCTGCTCCAAGCTTCCCTGCTGTCGTCAGCATGGCTGGTGGCATTACGGATACCGGAGAGCTTTACTCTCCTTATGTAAGTACTGCTCTTTCAGCCCATGGCTGGTGCTTGGGTTTCTGCCTAGCAGTCTTTTCAAAATCATCCTCTCTCAGCATTAGTTGTATTTTCACTTCCTTCTTCCTCACAACATTGCCTCAATGTTTCATGAGATAATGGATGATGGAGTCAAAGGGTGGTAAAATCACCTGGTTTCTTTTTTGTGTTCTTTCCTGAATAGATTGTATCAGCCCTTGTTCTCATTTTATATGTATTCTGTAGCGTTTTCATCAGCCCAAGTTGTCATGTGAAGCTAGAATAAGCAGGGGGGATTGTAACATGGAGAATGTCCCACTCTGTTTTCTCTGCAGAATCACTTAGTTACTGTGTTAATAGAGACACTGTTGATCATAGCAGTTGAGCAGCATCAGCCTTTAAAAACAGTTAAAAAGCTTTGCAAATGCTTATTTTTGTTTTCTGAAATAAATCCACAGATTATTTAAGGCAGACCCAGTGCTGAAATCTTAAGCGCTGGCTTTCAAACACTTTAAACTTTTATTTCCATATTAATGACTGAATTAGAAAAGCTGGATATTAGACTGCAAAAACAGGCTGCAATTGAAGAAGGAGAGAGAACAAGGCAGTAACTGGGGCATCTGGACCCTAAAGGATTAGTGTCACCTGCTCTTAATGTTGTTAAGTTAGTATTGCAGAAATCTCCTGAAGTCTCACCAAAAATACTGTAGTGCTCTCTCCTTTTTCCTGAAGATGTCTGGCCAGATTGAATACACAGACATCATTCTCATCTCTGTGTCTAGTTGACCAAAGTCAGGAAAAATCACCTGAGCTTTTATTCGCGTGTCCTTCACTGAAAAGTGAGTGATGGCCCTGGGCATTGGGAGCAGGAGATGTGCTTGGGAATGACAGCTCTGCCAGCTGAACGAAAGGAACTTTCCTGCAAGCTGCAATGGCTGATTTTGGCCCTTCTGGGAGACCAGTCAAAAGCTGAATTTACTGTGCTAGTGTCACTGAATGTAGGGCAGGAGTGCACGAGGATCTTGGAGTAAAAACATCTCCTGGTATTAATTGTTCCACACCAGGAAAGTACTCGGAGTTCTCTACCAGCTCTCCCCTGGAGAGGCTCTGACCTATATGAAAAACTTTAGGGGTAATTTTTTTATCTTGAATTTAGCTGAATTTCTCTCTCTTGTTTTTGGGGTGGGGAGCAGTCCTGTCCAGGTGCACAATTATCTCTTTCCCTGGTCAGAAAAAAAATAATTGCCAGAGAGGATGAAATCCTTCTCCTTCCATAAGCAATAGATACCCTTTTTTTCAAAATGTGCTTAGCTGCTTCCTGATAAAATGGCAAGCAGGCTTTAGCTACAATTCTATTTGGCTCATGGTAAAAAAAAAAAAAAAAAAAAAAAAAGATTTTAATAAGATCTTTAGTCATAACTACTTAGGTTGAGGTCAGAAAATAAGGAGACTCACGCCCATATTATAGGTTATTCCAATAGAAGGCATTGGATTTAAAAGTGCCCCAAAAAGACCATATGTATTCTAACTTTAAAAGTACCTTCTGGAGACAAACTTGTCTTTAGAAATGATAGTGTTTCCTGACACGTTCTGTGAACTTTCTCCTTTGCTATGTGATGACCGCAACTCATGCATGTGTGTAGTTTGGGAGGAAAAGTGAGCAATTCCACTGGGACCTAGATAATCCTCTTGGGAGTTGACACTTTCTTCTTTTGAGCTTTCAAGCACATATTGTGAGTGAGAGAAGTCTGTGCCCTAAGCAACCCACTTCAAACTACTATCTGTTCACCCTCATGGTCTGTGTGATTGTTGTGGCTACCCCCTTCAGCTGGCAGTACCAGTTTTGCTTTGCCCAACCAGCCTTCAAAGACAGTGATAAAATCCAAATTAATTCAAGTTGTGGAAGTGCAGTTGCTTTAGGTTGCCCCTCATGTTCTAGACTGGACAGCACTGTGCACCGATGTTAAATTCAGCAAGGCAGCTTATGGAGAAGCTCCTTGTTTTTATTCAAGTAATAAGCCTTTTTGGGGTAATGATTTCCTCTAACCCCATTGCAGCAGGACTGTTTGGAGTAGCTGGAGGGCGTGTTTCTGCTACTCTTCAGGTTTTCAAAGGTGTGCTGCATGGAGAGTTTCTCATAGTACTGAGCATATTCTCCCTGTTCCTAAACCCCTGCAGTGATGGATACGTGACCAAATATGACTTCAAGATCATTAAATAATCCATATAAGCTTTGAAAAGAAGTAGAAAGCTGGAGAGGGAATATCAGTTTTCCCCGAAATGTGCTGAAACTCACTTCATTCTATTTAGTTATCAGTCCCCATCCTTCTGTATTTATTTCTAGTAGATTGCTTTCTCTAAAATTACTGTGACTGAGATGCCTTGAACTGTCTCTGAGACAGCTGCAAACTCTGATGTTGGATTATGCGGATGATTGCAGGTTGGTCTGGTTTATATGTTCAACCTCATCGTGGGGACGGGAGCCTTAACCATGCCCAAGGCCTTTGCAACAGCAGGGTGGCTCGTGAGCCTCGTTCTCCTGATGTTCCTGGGCTTCATGAGGTACGTGTGGAGCAGGCTGCAGGTTTCTGTGGCGTGGAGCTGTGAGAACAGTGCTAAGACTTAAAGTGCTGCCTTTCTGAGAGATTTTGTCCCTCTTCTGCTTATGCACTGAGCTATCTACAGTTGTCTTCCTTGTGGCCCTTGTTTGGAGAATTGCGTTTTTGTGGAAGTCTGACCGATATCCAGGATATGGTGCTTTGTCCCATCTCCTGACTGTAAGGAAAGACTGTCTAGTCCCCAGCATTCTGAGACCTTTCTCCCAGCTTCCATTTCTGAGATTGTCTTCCTCATGGATGCATCATTGTCTTCCTCACCGTGCCTGCCTCTGTCACTGACAGGTTTGCCAAACACTGGCCAGGTCGCAAGTGACTCGGATTCCTTTCTCTGCTTGTGATTTACACTTGTGAATCAGACCTATTATGTTAGTTTTATCTTGGCGTCTGGCAGTATTCTAGACAGCAGCGAGAGTGTCAAGAAAACAAATGACTGTGTAGCTGGACCTGTCTTATTCCTGTTTTTTGTTGCTTGAGACCTTGAAGTTGGTCTCGTGATTTCCATGCTGCTTCCCTGCGAGTTTCTGCCCAGATTCCTCCCTGCTGGAGCAGCAGGTGGAGCTGAAAACAGCTTGAGGTTCTCCAATTATTAATAGCAGTGCCATCTTCCTGATGGGTTATGAATCCTTGCTTGGATCTAGCTCGGTTTTGAAAAATCTTGTGCCTTTGTAGGAAAAGAATGTAAAAGTTCCTTTCTTGTGGGTAGCCAGCTCTGCCAGCCTGAATTTACCTTTGGGTTGAAGATGCTTATCTGATCTGTTAGATGCTGCTATATAAAGGTAGCCAACTCCTGGTACTATATGTGTTGATGCTTTCGGGTTCCATACCTCCTCGCTGTATGTCACAGAGACCTGGTAAAATATGAATTGTGCAAGTGCCAGTAATTGGAAGATTTGGAAGCAATTCCTCCTGGATGCATTATTTTCAAAGTGTGAAACCAGTGTATAAAACTCAGTGCCCTCTGATAAGATTTTGCTTGGCTTAATCCAGTGTAGTGCTGACCTGAAAGGGATGTCTGGTGGTGCCAAGTGCTCTGGAAGCTGTGTCTCCTTGTTCCTTTTGTTCCTATGCTCCTGTGCTTGTGATTCCCTCATGCCCTCTAGGGATCTTCTCTTCACTGTGAGAAGAGTCTGCAGGAATTGCATTGTGAGCCTCAGGATGGGGCTGCTTTCTTTTATCCTGCCAAAACTAATTTCTCACTTGAGCTTGATAAATGACTCCAGTTCCTCAAGCAGTAAGAAACTGCTTTAAAGCCTTAAATAAGATTGATTTGAGGCTTTTATTATAGGACTGTTTAATTGAGAGAATGACAGTTTATCTGTAGAAGCATCAGTAGCTAAATTCCCTGGACAGGTCTTCCCATGGTCTTCCAGCAAAGTATATTTGCATGCACTTGTGATCTGCTTATTGGTCTTGTACTGCTGCTTTGCTTTTAATGCGCTTTTTAAGATTCTTCCCTGGATAAGCTTCAAAACAGTGCTGTATTAGTCCTGTGACCCGACAAGGGGGAAGGAAGCTTGCTGCCTAGCAAAGGGGAACATCCTCTTGCCTTCTCCAACCCTTGGAACCGTTAGCAAGGTGCCTTCCAGATATTCAAGCCATTTCCTTAACATGCCTTCAGATTATATTTTACTGCACATTGTATTTTGTGTCCTGGCTGAGCACCTGAATCTCAAGGTCAGTGAGGAGTAGCAAACTGGGTTAAAAAAAGGCACAAAAAGTGTTTGTGGGGAAAAAGATGGTGAAAGGCTTTGTAGAAGTTTCTCCTCCTAAAAAGCAGATGAGAATAGTTCCCTGTGTTTCTTCAACTACAGCTCTTTACTGTTACTGATATCAATTGCATTTCTCCCTCTAGCTATATGACTACCACCTTTGTGGTAGAAGCCATGGCTGCTGCAAATGCCCAGCTGAGATGGAAGAGGATGGAAAAACGCAAGGTTTGTGCAGGTTTTAACTCTCAGACTCCTATCACGCTCTTATCTCCTAGGACTGTCCCCAGATTCCTCTGCAGGCTTTGCCTTGCCTCTTTAGTAACTTTAATAAAGGAATAAATTTCTACTGTACTTAACTTTGCCATATAAAATACGGCTGTTAGTTCCCTGTGGGGTTGCTCATTAAAGTCAGGAGTTTCTGCTCCTGCCTTGAAAAATCTCCTGCGCTGCTCACGTTTGTTACTGCCTGTGCTCTGCCTGCCCCGAAGTGCTGCTCAGCGAACGTGGAGAGGTGGCAGCCGACACATTGGGGCCACTTGGGCTGTGCTGAGGTCTATAAATCCTTCCTGATCTCAGCTCATTTAACTGGGACAAGCTGGAATGTCCTTGCTGTCACTCGGACTGTATCCCAAGGAACGAACATTCTTGGAGTATGTCCTTGCTGTAAAGTTAAGTTCTGTTTTATTGGATCCTGGCTTCGGTGGCTTTTCTGGGGGCATATGTGAGGCATAATTGTTTGCACTGATTTAGATCCCTGCCTGCAGGTGGGGGGGTTGGAATGATGAGATAAACATGTCTGCTCTGGCCAGCTATAATAGTGAATGTATTTGGATTTTTTTAACCACTTCTGCAATCCTACAGATCTGCCAGATCCATAGACTTGTTTCTCCCTTCCTAGTGCCATTTGCCACAACCCCAACTAGACACTGTTCCCGTGCATAGGCACTGCTAGGACAACAGTCTGTTTTATCACTTATGTCTTACTAGTGCCTTTTTCTGCCACCAGCATGTCCCAAACTGGGGCCCCAGCGCTCCGTGGTACCTCCTGTACTCGCTTCCTTCAAAACCTTCTCTGAGGTTCTGAAAATGAGGCTGTGATACTGGTGGTGCCACCCGTGTGTTGCGTAGTAGAGGTCTCCATGTTTTCTTTCCTTTTCTGCCAGGAAGATGATGAGGAGGATGAGGATTCTTCCTCTGGAGTATCTGACAGTGATGTTCTCCTCCAGGATGGCTATGACCGAGCCGAGACACGACCCATCCTTTCAGTTCGTAAGTACCCAGTTCCGGCTTACGCTGATTCTGAGACCTCTTCTCTGCAGGCAGCATCCCAGTAGACTCCAGTAAGCAGAGGCAGGACTTTTCTGTCTATTTTGCCCTTAACTCTGTGTCTTTGCATCCCAAAGTCCTCAGGACTTTTAAGATAAGATTCATTGCTAATTCGCCCTACCTTCCCCTGCCTGATAAAGATCTCTTCCTCATAGGCCACTGAGATGAGACTGTCTTATTTTGGAAACATTTTAAACTACCTTCAGGGTTGTTGAGCAGATGACTTTGCAGGTGTGGAGTAGTACATGCTGTCTTTAAAGCTGTTGCAAGAGCTTCTTGGGTGTGTTCAGATAGTCTGTCTTCTGGGTTGATTGAAGTAACTGTTTTTAACAGTTCTCGTTTTCAACTTGCAGAGAGACGTGGCTCACCCAATATCTTTGAAATCACTGAAAGGGTGGAAATGGGTCAGATGGCTTCCATGTTCTTCAATAAAGGTTTGTTTTAATTTTCAGTGTTTTAATGGTTTTAAAAGTCCCTTCAAGACCTGCTGCATATTGTGCTTGTGGCTGTTCCTTAAATCTGTATGCACCTTGAGTTTGTGATGTTCTACCTGAAAGTGCCATTCCTTCTCTGTAGGCTGTATTCATCCTCCTATGTAGTATTGGTGTGGAGTATTTTGTACTTGGAGAGAACTTGCTGAGAGTTGTTTGTGCCAGGGAAGGTCATGTAGAAGAAGGGCTGCCTGGATACTGAATCAAAAAGGGTCCATGGTACACCCTTGAATAGGCAGATGTCTTATTTGTGTGCTTTTAAATGCCTTTTGTTGCATATCAGGGAACAAGCTCGTAATTATACTGCAATAAAGCCATATCCATTGCTGCATACAATACAAATGCAGCTATAAAGTTAGGCGTGCGGATACTTAGAGAAAATACATATGAGAAACACTAGGCAGAACCAGAAAACCGTTCAGCACCGTAGCTGTACAGTTCTGAGCTTGTCAGGCCCCATTTCTTGTGGAAAATAGTGTTCTCTTTTGTTCAGTAGCCACATTATAAATGCGCAATGGGCTACTCCTTTCCACTACATTACAGCAGCTTTATGCCCGTGTAAGCCCGTTACCTTCAAAGGTTTAAGGAGGAAGATCTCTTTGAACTTTGTTTTTGCTGGTTTAAAAGTTCAGATAAAGAAGAAAACTTTTTTGCTCACTTTCAGGACCTTGTTGTTTGGTTCATCTGTTTAAGGGGAAAGAAGAAAGACTTCACTGTCTCTCCGGTGGTGCAATAGGGAGCAATATTTGGGAAGGGCTTTGAGGGTGAGCAGCATGTAACGCTCCCTAGCAGAATCACTGGGGATCCAGCTGTGGATAATGACACATCTGTCAGCCCTAGATGGGCTGGGGGAACCCATATGGGAGAGCATTCCTATAAACTAGTTTCAGAAGGTCACTCTTTGCATGAGTTTAATAGATGGAGATGATAAGGACCCCTCAAGCAAGACTTGGCAGTGTTGCCTTCTAGAAGATCCCTCTGCCTTGACGCTAGCTGCTTCTCAGCCAGCAGAGGGTGCTGGAAATTCACGTCCTCCCTCCTGCGAGAGGCTTGTGCACTTTTCCTTGCAAAGTGATCTAAACGGCTTAGTACTCTCGATCTTAATCCTTCTTCTTAATGTTGCTTTAGCCAGGGTTATCTGATTTCTGTGTTAGGGATCCTCCTCCGGACCCACACAGTCACTGCGAAGGGATAATAAGAAATCAGCTGGAGTAGCTGCAGGACCATAGCATGAAACTGGCATTTCCAGCTAAAGGAAAGGCGTGTGGAGCTGAGTGTTAGGGTGGCTGTCACTCATTTGCTGCTTTCCCTTCCTCTGCGCTCAGAAATGAGGCTGCATCGCAGTGATGTTGCAGAGTCCCAGTTCAGAGATGCCCTCTGGTCTGCTGAGCAGTCGCAGAGGAGAGACAAGGGAAGTACAACCCTCTGCAGATCCTTCCTTCTCACAGCAGTGCAGTTGCTCCGTGAGGTACAGTGAGAAACTGGGCACTACCTGAAGTCCTGGCTCCAAGCACCAACCTCTGCAATTTGACAGCTAGCAAATGTCTGGATTGGCTTTTTTCTTTTGCTTGCAGTATACACAGTTTTTGTCCAAAGTTGAGATCTCAGAGAGCTTTGCAGCCTTCAGAAGGAAGGCTAGTGGGGGCTTTGCAACAGACCTCAAACCCTCTCATTTCTAAGGAGTTATCTGTTCATTTCCCTTGATAGATTTCAACAATCTAACAGGATTTGCATCTGCAACTCAGAGTTAAGCTGGGGATAAATCCCTACTTCAGACTGTCTGCTTTCTTAAAGGGCGCTGAGTTTAGTCTGTGAGGGGCTTGCAGTGTGCTTTTCCAAAAGAACCGGCTCTAAATTAGGACTCTTTCCCCTTTTTCTTTTAAACTTGCAATGCTGGATGCTTTTTTTTTCTGGAATCCAGCAGTCATTTATTGTAATAATGGATTCTGGGCGCATCTGTTTTGCTGTGTCCTCACAGGAAATCATTGATTTTTCCTGTTTTGTGTCCAGTAATGAAACTATTGATTGGGGAGGGTCAGTAGCCGTTTGTAAAAGAACTGACACTAAAGTTTCCTGCCTGTGGAGAGAAAGGCTTTTGGAAGGGAATATCACCTGGGCTTTGCAAAGACAGAAGTCTGCTCTGGAACAGGAGGAGAGTGAATGCCCAGAAGCGAAGCCCCAGTGGTGCTGCTGTAGATTTGGTGCTTGTCTCACTGCTCCTCTGGCAGATGGAAGAAATGCTAAAGCAGAATTCTCATATGCCCTCATGTGCCCAACGGGGGAAAGCTTTCAGCTTTCTGTTTAGCAAAGGCAAAATGACAGTCGGCACAGGGAGGAATGTTTTATCTGGAATTCTTAGTTTGTCACGTTAACCTTACTTTATGAATGGAGCAACAGAAGCCTGAAATCGGTAGCAGGTCACTGCAATAAAATCTATAATTGTGTCTAGCTTGTCCCACGCTCAGTGAATCTGCAGCTTCTGCCTCGTGTCAGATACTTGTTCTGATTTTCAAATTCCTTTAATAGGAAGTAGGAGAAAACTAGTGGGTTTTCTCCGTCTTCAGAACGATGCAGAGACTCCTAAGGATGTAGCCATCTTCAGACTTTCACAGAGGAAGAAAACAAAATACACAAAATTTTGTACATAAAATGAGCTAACTACTTGTAGAGGAGCTGAAGATCTCAATATGCTCTAGTTGAGGCAAGGTAGGAACACTTCTGGTCCATGCAAGTGTTGGTTTCCTGTATTACTTTCTGGAAGTAGGGAAGTTGTATTGCAGCTTTCCAAATACAGCTCCTTTTAGAAGCGCTTTTTGTTAAGCGCACTCAGCATATTGAATAATTTAATTAAATGAAGGGAAACGACTATATGACTATTAATGTTTCCTGACATCCAGAGATCCAGGAACAGTAGGATGGCAAAGCCCATGGTAATGCTAAGGGGTATTGAGCATTGTAGAAATATTAATCCCTGTTCCTGCAATAATGTTATCCTTGTTTGATAGTCGTCATGTGTGAGACTTGGGGAGGGGAACTGATTTGCCCAAGTTGCACTAAGATTTTAGCATCAGCCAGTACAATTTGAAAACATGGGCAAGTGCCACGAGCAATTTTTCTGGAATATCAACATCTTAAATGAAATACGTATTTTTTTTCATAGCTCACTGTCTGTGAACTAAAGTGTGTTCCAATTTGTCTTGGAATCCAGTATCTCACAAAGATCTCTTTGTCCTGGAATCCAGTATCTCACAAAGATCATCCAAGTATCATTTTGCCCCTAAAAAGCTGCTTTATCTGCCTAATTAAGACATTTTTTTAATCTCACAGCTGAAAGCAGAACAAGCTTTTTTTCCCCAAAGCAATACCAGCAAGAAAGTACAAAGCAGGGCAACAAAGACTTGTGTTCCTTGCCTGTGGCACCGCTACATTAGAAAGCTTCAGAAAGGAAGTTTTAAAGCTTTGCAGGTTTGAAACTTGACTTAGGCTGCTGCTCTTCTGGGATCTCCCAGAGCAGCTTCACTTCAGCCGTGCAGACCTTGAGGTCTGCGGGGCCAAATCCCCAATGTGAGGGTCATGCAGTTTTACAAGCACAGAGTTTAGAGCCAGCACAGCACTAAAAGTGTCTTCTTTTCACTGTTTCTGGAGCTGTGTTGCTACTAGGTCTACCAGCATCTTCTAGATGCTTTTTGGGGGCTCTTCCAAGCTGACAGCTTCATCTGGTAGGTGGCTTGTATGAGACCTGTTGGTCTTGGCCAGCTGCTAGAGGATGGGCTCAAGCTGGAGGGCCTAGAGTCAAGGCCAGGTATTTAACAAGGCAGAGCTGATTTCTGAGGGACCTCGTGTCCTGTCAATTCCTCTGCCATAACCAAGTTCCCTGAGCTGCTGCTGCGGCCCTTGGGTGGAGTTTCCCACTGAAAGAAGTTAACTAAGAAGGCAAAAGGTGGATCATTCTTCAAGACCTTGGAAAAGTTTGGAGTGAAATGTTGATACAAAGTGTAGAGTTAGGAGTCGGTGTGTACTCTGCCATCTCTACAATGCTTTCTTTTCCTGCAGTGGGTGTCAACCTCTTCTATTTCTGCATAATTATCTACCTCTATGGGGACCTGGCGATCTACGCGGCGGCGGTACCGGTCTCGCTCATGCAAGTGACCTGGTAAGTGTCCCTTTCTCATAATCAAAGAAGCAACTAATGGAAGAGATGGGTTTGATCACATCTGTGCTTGGATGAATTTGCATCCTTGACTGGGAAATGGAAGCTGCAGTGAAGCCCATGTGGCTTCCAAAGTCATGAGCAAACTTCTCCATAACTGCGTGTGATCTGAGATTTACCTTTAAAACACATTTTTGAGGAGTGAATAACTTTATTTCTCTCTCCTTCTTTCCAGTAGTGCCACTGACAACCACTCTTGCAGTGTGGGAGATGGCACCAAGTATAACGATACAGACAAGTGCTGGGGGCCGATTCGACGGATTGATGCGTACAGGCTGTACCTGGTGAGTTTCTGAAACTTGTATGGCCACAATTTCCCTTGTTTTTGCTCAAAAGCAGCATGGCTACATTTCTTTTTTCTTGAACCCCAGGAATAATGGGGTTCAAGTAAACAACAAAGGTGCAAAGCTCTAAACTCAGTCATGCTTCATTGCCTGTTACCTCTGCTGTTGTGTTGGTGACATTGCTGTATTTCAGTTTGGTGGCTACACTGGCCATCAAATCATCCTTATGGTTTGGGATTTGTTAAATAATATTCCATGATTGGTGCAGTGTTTTCTATTGCTTAAGCAGGTGACGTGTCCATGCCAGTATTGTGTGGGGTTTTTAGGGTTTTTTTCCTATTTTTTTTTCCAGTGGCAGGCTGAAGTAAGTTGCTTTAAAGTAATTGTTCTCAATATACTCAAGTATATTAGGCTCTCTAGAGTGCATTCTGTATGTGAATAAAATATGTTTATGCTCCAAGAGGATCAGCTTTTTGAGAGATGATGGAAACACACTGCTTAACCAGCACCCAGTGCTATACGCTGCTTTTCTAATAGCTTTCTGTCTAGTTTAGGATTGTCTATTGCCTCTATTACAGCGCAGTGGCTCTGCTGTGAAACCAAGGTTTTCCCAAAGGATGATAAACAGAGCTTCTCCCCAGCGTGGTGGGCGTTGAGCACTCGTACCTGAAGACAGATGTCAGTAGGGCAAAATGGGAAGAGAAGTATTTAAGTGCTGCGTAGTTGGATAGCTGTGGCAATAAAACCAGTGTGGCTGTTAAGGCTCTGGGTGACAATCTTAAGGGAGAAGAAAAAAAGCCAACAGAGTGAAAAGGCTCTTGGTGATGTTGTCCCTTTTGTGTTTGCACAGAAATTCAGGCATAGAGACTGTATGAAGCTGTTTTTTGGTTGCTGTATTTTGTGCATGCAGTGGATCATGCCCCTCCGTTCACTTGTTCCAGCATTATTGCAAAAGTGGGAGCTTGGGCCTCAGAAATATTAGTGAATGTCAAAGCCTAGTTAATTATTTAAGAGAAATATTATTGCTTTGTTCAATTTCATCTTGGTCTATTTCTTTAAAACTTCCACATGATTGAGGATTTCCTCCCTGAATTTCAATAATTCTTCCTGATCCAGCAGAAGGAGTTAGTCAGAAAAGGCAGACATGCATTAATTACTGCCTGCGTCTCCCAGATATTATGCCTATAACTCATGACAGTAATTGTTGTTAGCACTCGAAAAATTACAAGAAGAAAAAAGGAAGAAGCCTGGGTGAGCATTAGACTTGTTGTTGCCTGTGTTTACGTGACTTTCAGAGATGCCTTTCCCTGCCTTGTCTCCTCTTATGGATTTGGAGAATAAATATTTGCAAAGTCTTTGGTAGTGGTTAATCCTGCCCAGTAATTGAGATCAAGATTTCAATGCTTTTCTCAACTCCTTGTTAGTAGTAGGGAGCAAGAATTTGCAGGAAAGTGCTGCATTAGTCTATGGATTCTAGGATGAAGTTGTTTCCATGTTTTCTTTTTCCAGAGGACTGTCAGCATCACCTTGGAGCTGTAGTTTTTATTAAGGTTTCTAATGTTTTCCACTAGATGAGTATGCAGCTAAACCAGGACCTAGTCCATCCTCAGCACTGCTGGGCTCGCTTAATGCTTGACCTGTGTCTTGTTTCATTCCCGAGAAAGCAAAGATATGATGATGATCTACTTACCCAGAGAGGGTAATCATTCCTGAAACACTGAGAGTTAAGCCTAGCAGTTATTTCTTGGATATATCCTGGAACTTTCCAGCTCCTATCACTCTTTACAGGATGGAGAACTGTAACTCCCTGCAAATTTTGTCCAAACCTGTGTGCAGAGTGAGGGAGCTGAAAACTGCCTGTCCAAAGGAAAAAAGACAACATGAAAGCAAAGCGGAGGAGTGAGATGCCACGAGCACAGGGATTTCCTTTCTCTCTCCTGGGAGATCCCGGCTTCTGGAGAATTTATTATATTTTCTTGATTTTCTTTTCCTGTTTTAAGTTCTCTTTCTGAATAATTCAGGTTCCACATTTCAGTGGGCAAACAAGGAGTTTTTTTGCTTGCTACGTTCTTCTGTGGCAAGAGGATAGGTGGGCACTGAGATTCCCAAAGAAAGCAGCCCTGGTTTTGGATCAGCCCTGTTGCCTTCTGCTTGCTTCCAGGCTTCTCACCTTGTCCTCATGCTGTATCTGGGCCTGTCGTGACCTTGGGAGCAGTTTGGGAGGATTTAACAGAAACCCCTTCCCTGTTGCAGTGCAGCAGGTCCCATGCTAAATGCCCACGTCGTGCAGGGCTGCACAGAAAGCTTTTCAGGGGGAGGGAGGGAAGAAGTACCAGGACAAATAGTCTATTATAGGTTTTCTGGGGAAATGCTGCCAATGGGAACTCATTTGTGCCAAGTGCCACCGCTCTGCCAAAGATTTGTCCTGCCTCCCTCCTGTCAGCTCTTTCTGCCCAAGCACCTTGTCGTCTTTTCCACAATAACCGTGTCAAACGTTGCCTCTTAAAGCTGGATAAGGCGGGGAGAAAAAGAATGACTGACGTAAAAATCCCATTTCATGGTTTAATGTGCAAAAAGGCCTCTGGAAGCTGTCTCGCCTCTGATCGCTGTGAATGGAAGCTGAAAACTAGGTATATAATGAGAATAGTTAAACAGATTAAATCCCTCTCTGGAGACTTGTCTGTGCAGCATCTTTATTGCTGCTCCAGAATTTCACACCTAAGAGCAACTGCAGAGACTTCAGAGACCACGGGACCCCTATTAACCTTTGTGTGAGCAAATGGCTACCTTGCTGCTTGTTTGTAAATTGGCTGTGAAAATAAAGGCCTGCCAAGGAAAGAGCTGGAGGCAAGTGCAAGAAATTACTGAAAGATGCTTCTGGTCCTGGTCCATCACTTGTGGCTGATATTCCCCACGTCTCTTTTGGATCTTGGGGTCTTGGGTGGAATTTAGAGGCCGGCTGTGAAGTGTTATTCCAGGGTTGTGGAATACATGGGGTAAACTGGATAGGAGAGAGGCATGTGTTGGATGGCCCCGTGACCTTGTTGAAGGCAAGGGCTGATCACAGTTAAAGCAGATCGATGGCTTTCTATCTTCTCTGCAGTTCAGTCGCAACAGTCGTGTCCTCGACAGCTGAAGCGACTCCCGAGTCCCTCGCTGTTTTAGTGGTCAAGTTAAGAGCAGAGCAGCGTCCTCTCGGCGAGGATTTGGCTTCAGAGACACTTCCCTATCATGTTTTTCGAGGCCAGCATCATGCAAACTGAGGGAAAGGGGCAGTGGATTTAAGTTTCAGATCTCTCATCATAATAATTCCCTAATACTTCCTTGTATTCTAATCCATATTGCTCTGATGTAGAACCGTGACTTGATAGTCCTTGTTTCTAGAAAGCAAATAGGAGATTAAATCCTGGGGCTCAGCAGCCATCCAGAGCGCCTGATCCAAAACGCGTCCCTGACCTGGCAAACGGCAGTTCTGTTCTGCACCGCGGCCGCCGTTGTCGCTAAACCCTCCGTGCTCCTCTCAGCCCTCCTCTTCTGGCAAGTGGGAACGCGGTGCCTTCCAAGAACGGCAAGGCAACGGCTCGGATTCCCGGGGGAAGGTATCGGTGCTGCCGAGGAGGAGCGCTGGCACGGGCCCTGCTGGTGGCCCTCGCCGTGCTGTAGGTGCTTCTGTTGTGTCTGAGCCTCCGCTGGGTTTCAGCTGCCCGGGCACGGGACGCAGCCTGCGCTTCTGCAGGTTCGCAGATGCTGCAGCGTGGCAGGCGGCGCAGCGGGCGCGGGCCGGGCGGACAGGGCAGCGCAGATGGCCTGATGGAGATTATCCCGGTTGGAAACGCGCTGGTGCGGCGAGCGCAAGGAGCGGGCTGGCCGGCGCTCGCCGCTCGCTTCAGGAAGGGACAATGTCACCCAGCCTGGCGCTCTGATCGCCGAGCAGAGCGGGGCAGTGGGGTGCTCTGAGGACACCTCGGTGCCAGCAGGACATAATGGGTAAACGTGGGGGCTGAGCTGCTGAGTGAGGCTGTAGATCCCGTCTGTCTGCGCGTGGGGCCGTGTCCTGGGTCCGCTCCCGGGCTCCTTCCCCATCCCTCCACAGACGGGCGCTCTCCTCTCCTTGGCATCTCTCCGACCACAGAGCGCCTGTGCACGCTCTGATCTCTGTGGAGATACCTGTGACTTTATTCTCAATACACATCTACCTAAAGCTGCCCTAGTGAGAGCAAGCAATTTTTTTTGCATTGCACAAGGTGAGCTTTAGCCTCTCTCTGTCTCCAGCTCAGGTTGATCCGTGGCTTCTATCCTTTTACCTCCCAGCAAATATACGAGGGGAGCTGGCGTGGGGGGCCGTGGGCAGCCCTGCTGGACAGGCTGTCCCCTGCCACCAAGGAGCAGCGCTGCAAACAGGCTGCATCTTCCAAGGGCACCTGCCTCTTCCCACTTGTTCCCTTCGCAGCAAGCGCTTGCACCGTGTCCTGCCTTCCTCAGCTGTGCCCGGCGGCAGCATCCGCTCATAAATGGGTCACAGCTGCTGTCTCCTGGATATTTATTCTTACAGGTCCCGGTGTCTGGAGACCTTGAGACCCAGCGGCGGGGAAGGAGCCGCTTCAGCAGCAGGTGCTCAGAGCAGGGAGGGCCGATTTCCCAGCGCATCCATCAGGAGGGATTGCGGATGCTCCGGGATGAGCTGGCGGGGAGGAAGGGAAGCTGATGGAAGTTTACCTTGCTGGCAGGAAGCCAGCAGCTTGTTTAAATAAATCACCTGCACAACGGTGGCGGTGTTGTGTTCCAGGTTGCCACAGCTTATGGAAAGGATGCTGCCGGACCGGGACCCTGGTGGCATATTGTCCTCTATACCCTATAAGAAGTTATTTCTAAGACCTTGCCAAAGGTGTTGCGTGCTCTTCGCTAGCATAAATACTCTGGTGTGGTTTATTATGATGCTGATGTGGAAATAGAAACAAATGTACCCAAAAAATGCTGTTTTCATGCATAGTTCCAGTTCT